CTGCACAAAGAGAGTGTAAAAATCGATTGGGGGGGGGGGGGGAGAGAGAGAGAGAGAGAGAGGAAAGATGATTTATGGTGCAAAATTAATTGGACTTGAGAGGTCCTATTTATACTGAATACGGAAATCATAATCCCCAAAAAACCGGATATGGTAATGATGACCCGCCACTCCATATGTTTCCATGTGGCAATTCGAATTTGAAATCTAATGACGTTATCAGGAATCTCATCCGATTTGAACTTGTATTTATCCGGTCTTTCTGAAGGCTTCTAGGATATTCTGTCTGCTTAATCACGAAGTCAACATTGATTGGTTCGGCAAAATATGAAAAAAGGGAAATTAAGTAATCTAGCCACTTTTTAACATGTATTTGAAGAAAATATAATATTTCTTTTTAGCAAAAATAACTACTTAGTCCGGAATGAGCATTCCAGACCAAGAAAAAAAAATGACCGATTCCGGAACGACATTCCGGATTCCGGACTAAAATTTCGGATTTCGGGAAAAAATCTGGAATTTCAACAATAAGTCTGAAATTCGAAGAACAATTCCGAAATTTTGAAAAAAAATCGTTTTTATACTTAAAATTAACAAAAAGTTAAACAAACATAGTAATTTGAATTACACGATATTAGTGCATAAATTTAAACATTTTATTGAATAACTGTTAAATCAAACATTACGATATGTAGCATTTGGAATCCGAAATAACAATAAAAAGATTTTTTGAAAAAAAAAAACTCTGGAATATGAACAATACTCCGAAATTAGACATTCCGAAAAAAATAGTTACTTTTCAAAAGCCGAAAAAAGTTGGTTATTTTCTTTAAAAACCATTAAATTACTTAATTTCTCAAAAAAAATCATATATATATATATATAACAAAAATTTCTTATCTTTTAAGTAATTTTACCTAAATTTAATCTATAAAATTTTATTTTTGGGAAATTGAGTAATCTAGCCATTTTTGGGTGTTTTTTAAAAATATAATTTTTTTTAAATGACCACTTATTCCGGAATAGGGCATTCCGAAACATATTTCGGACAAATTTTCGAGTGGGCCGACCCATTACCGTGGGTCCGGAATTGCCATTCTGGACTATCCGTCTGTGTTCCGGATCGAAAATTTGAATTTCAAATTCCGGAATATAATTTGAAAAAATCCGGACCCTCGCCTTTATTCCGGATCCTGCCCTGATTTCTGATTCCGGTTCCGACACACAATTCTGGATCTTTAGACTTTCGATTCCGATCATCATTCCGATCTCTGACACACAAGTCCGATCTCCGGCATGCAACTCCGACATGGAAAAAGAGCACTACAACCCCGTTATTTTACGGGTACGTTCTTCGCTTTCTCTTTACATAGTTTGCTTGTTTGTACAAGGTGCTTGTTCATCTATAATTATTGTTCCGGAATGCGTAGAACACCTCCAGAATGAACTGAAAACGTTCCGGAGTTTAAGTTAAAGATGTCATTGTTGTAGGATCAACTGAATATTAGTTTAGATGTTTGGGTATTGTTAATTTACATCGAAATGTAGTGTTCCAGATCTTAAAAGTTCATTCTGGAAGCCTCTGAAATGCGAGGAATTGTTACGGAACATGATGAACTCGTCTGGAACATGAGGAACTAGTCCGGAATATTTGTCATTTTTTTTCGGAATGAAGTGATAACACATTTTTTTTCCTTTTACAGCACGACAGGGTTTTTAATGCATCTATTACACTCTCTTGTATACCCAAAATCGACGGGTAAATTCTTACGACATTTAGAGACAGACCCGAATGTGAGACTATGTTCCGGAATACATGTTTTGGGAGGTGGTTAGACATTCCTAATGTAGATGGGGATCCATTGCTTCTACATTACGTCTTTTGCCACGAAGTTGTCACCGTCCCACGAAGCCAAGTACATGAAATGGTTTTTTAGACCGGGGGTTACGAGCTGTCTTTTAGGAGGAAAGAATTTGGTCTCATCACTGGCTTCGGTTTGGTGACTATTTTCCCGCTTCTGCATCCAGTGTCGCCTTTCAGTCCCGTGCCTTTCCTATGGTCCCGAGGAATGCTCGGTCTAATTAGACGATGTTATTAAGGTGTTTAAACATTCACTTAATGAGTTATCGAACGAGGATGCAGTCCGTGTATGTCTTCTACACCTGTTAGAAAAGGGTTTAAATGGGCGGTTGCCTTAACAGTCTGTTACAGAAGAGTATTTCAATTTGCTATCCAACCTTGATGAATTCAACATGTATAATGTTGTCTATTTTATAATTACTGATTATAATTACTTATAGTTACTAATATTTTTTTAGAAATTTAATTGTTAATTAATTTTTTATGTGACATATATCCATGGGGGAGAATAACTTGGGATCAGTTATACTCACAACTAGAAACTATATTCAATAAGGTTGACAAACATATACATTCAGTCGAACCGAAAGAGAAACAACCTCAAAAAATGACCTACACCCTACTCGGGTTTTTATACGCTTTTAAGGTAAGTATATGCTGAAAAATTTATTATTTATTGTTATTTGCTAACATTCTAACAATTTTTTATTTATTTGTTTGCTAACATTTATATATGGATTCTTAAGACTTTTTCGGTGAGCAGTTTGTTTGGTACCCAACAACAAAATGTGATCCTTTGGGCAGTTGCATGATCAAAACTAAACTGAGGCATTTAAAAAAAGCCTGAATGAACCAATTTTTACAAATTGACGACGTATGATTACTTTATTATTTAAATATTTATATAATTTATAATTTATGTTTATTTATAATTTTATAATTTTGTTAGCAGGATAATAGAATCGTATATAAGTTGGAGCCGACAGAAGATGAGATGCGTGCTGAATGGTGGATCGTTAGCTTGACATGGATTTATGGCCCTGATTTTCCCGACACTAAAGTTCACAGAGCACCTTCCCTAACACCATCACCCAAAAACTCCCTTACCCACGAGCCTCGAGAAAAGAAGGCACAGATAGATGATCCCTCTCACCCACCACCACCAACACCGCCGACTTTTGACCCATCAATCGACAATGAACGAATTATTAGTTACTTGCAAGACGAGGTTCGTCAATTGAAAAATGAGCTCAGTGAATGCCGCGAGCAGTTGAGGTCACAGGATGAGCGTTTAGCAGAGCATGACACTACTTTAGACATGGTTCTAAAACCTATCAATAAGACTCCCGGAGACGATGTTGGTACCTCGAAGTGGGTGGAGGTACATTTTTAATTATTTCATCGTTTATGATCGTTATGTTTTTGTATCGTTTACAAGTATACACTATTGAACCGTACATGCATACTACAATGACAATGACTTATGGGAGCATGATTATGTGTTAGGCACCCTCGAATAGCCGCTGAATGACGACCCTGAGCAACCGTTCTTTGTGTATTCAATCGCCGAATGTAAAAGAGATTCCACATGATGAATACAAAACACCGTCACCAACACCTCTTAGGCGTTCTAATCACCAAAAAGTTATGTCCATATGGTATAAGTCACCATGGATACAAATGAAGAGGAAATGTGTTATACGACAACAACCAACACTGTTGGACAATCTTTTAGAGCCTACCATACACTGTATATATAAAGAACGGGATGGTTCGTTGTTGTTTGGTCACTTATTTGGCCAAATTTGCTACGATTGAATTTTGGACACGGTTATATGCGGATAGTCATATATGATGGTTGTCATGTGATGTAAATAATATAATTATGTGCTCATTACATACTACGCTTCTAATAACAATACTTACTTTACTACAAAAAAAATTGGCAACACATCATGATGTGAATCTTATTACTGCTAGAGCGTAGTGCGGATGATGTTCGGTGGACGGTTGTGCCGTCAACTTTCAACATTGATACATTTGACTGGAGTGACATGGTTGACGGATCCGTTTACGCAGTTTGGGCAGAGTGTGATACGGTATAATTTGTTTGGATTACATTACTTGAGTTTTTATATACTAATTAATTATTTCTAACCTTTTTTTGTAGCTTTACATCCCAATCAATATATCACAAGCCCATTGATTTTTGGGTGCTTTGGATTTGAAAACATTTAAAATGACTATATACGATAGTCATTGGAATGACGACGACTGTTCGGAAAATGATGATTGGTTTATAGGTATGAGAGTCCGCATCCACAAACTGCTAGTGGGAGTCAAATACTGGGGTACCGAACCAACTGATTCAATCCCACTTGAGAGCTTCAAGATGCCCCTAAAAAAGGCCCCAAATGTACCCCAACAGATTGACAACATACGGGATTGTGGAGTGTTTGTGTTGATTCCTGGAGGTGTTGATCACCGAAAAATTGATTTTTATAGAGGGTAAAACCGGTCCATGAGCTATGGGTTATCGAAAACGATTAACGGAGTTTTTTTGGGGTACAAGGACAAATATAATTTGACCATCCTATTTGTAATATGACCTAGAGACATATCATTTTATTTAGTTATGTATTTATTAGTTGTTTGTTGATTTTCATTTCATTTTACATTTTATAAAACCAAAAGTTATACATTTTATAAAAGCAAAATTTATACATTATATAAATCAAAACTTATATTAAAAGAAAAACCACATGTTACACGAAAAAAAAAGGTATTCCGGAATCATGGTCCGGAATTGTATTCCGGAATTCCGGAGACCTCTCCAAACAATGTGTTCCGAAGAATATGATTATTTTATTAAAAAAAATGGATCATTTTATAAAAAAAAAAAATCCTTTTTGATCACTCTATTTCGATTTATTTTTTTGTGGTCGACTTCTCGAGAAGTATTAAAATTTTGACCAAATTTAATCATTTATAAGGAAGCATATTTAAAGTCATAAAAAGTTGCTGTGGGGAGATGGCTATTGAAGTAGCCAATCATATCATGCCACGTCAGAAAAGCTCGTGATGACATTGTACGTGGCATTACAAGATGTCTGGTGAAGAACTCATCCCCTATCCATACAAAAACCAAAACCAGTCAGAAAGAGATAGAAAGCGTAGAACAGAGTTCGAGATATTTTCCTTCAATTTTTCGTAATCAAATTATCGTTTCCGAAACAAATGACGTGAAGGTTCTTCAAAATTGAATTATTTGTAATCCTGAAAACTTGATTTGTGATAGAAGAATCAATGGAGTGCTTTGGAGCTCGAAACATGACGGCAACAATGGCGGTTTTTACGTGCCCTAGATTCACAGACTGTAATATCAGGCAAAAAATTTCGTTACTAAAGCAGCGAAGATTTACTAGTGTATCAGCATCGTCTTCGTTTCGTCAAATTAAGTGCAGCGCTAAAAGCGACCGTTGTGTAGTGGATAAACAAGGGATTTCCGTAGCAGACGAAGAAGATTATGTGAAGGCCGGTGGATCGGAGCTGTTTTTTGTTCAAATGCAGCGGACTAAGTCCATGGAAAGCCAGTCTAAACTTTCCGAAAAGGTGAATTATTCGATTACCATTTCGAATTGAAGCAATTGCCACTCGTACTTATTACTAGAGCTTTGTGTTTGTTTGTTTGTTTGTTTGTTTTCTCGTTTCTCTCCACAATCTTCTCATTTACTACATTTAGTTAATATTCTCTAATGGATGTTCGATTCAATCGATCGACTAGTAAGTAAGGTTTATGTTAAGTGTCAATTGCTTACGCATCTTCACCATTTTTGGGACACTAAAAGTCTGTCTGTGAATGAGGATTTTTGAACTTTTCTTCATGAAACAACAATCCTTCCAAATTTCTTTGCATGCACCAGATGTTATTTTCCAGTAGCAAATTTTGAATCAGTTATCTGTTTGTTATTTCCTGAAAAACTTCACCTCGTTGATGCAGCTCGCACAGATACCAATTGGAAATTGCATACTTGATCTGGTTGTAATCGGTTGTGGCCCTGCTGGCCTTGCTCTTGCTGCAGAATCAGCCAAACTAGGGTTGAACGTTGGACTCATTGGCCCTGATCTTCCTTTTACAAACAATTATGGTGTTTGGCAGGATGAATTTATAGGTATAGATATCCTTTATTTCCACTTTTTGTATGTAGTATTATCTGATTTCAATCTCTAAAGGCTACCAATTACCATATTTCTTTCAGGTCTTGGACTTGAAGGATGCATTGAACATTCCTGGCAAGATACTCTTGTATACCTTGATGATGATGCTGATCCCATCCGTATAGGTCGTGCATATGGTAGAGTTCATCGTGATTTACTTCATGAAGAGTTGTTAAGAAGGTAATAATACTCCTTTTGGTTGTTTCCAAATTCCAATATATAATAAGCTACTTTTAAGTCTAATTCCTGTGAAGCTTTTTAGGTGTGTGGAGTCAGGTGTCTCATATCTAAGCTCCAAAGTAGAAAGAATCACTGAAGCTCCAAATGGCTATAGTCTCATTGAATGTGAAGGCAATATCACTATTCCATGCAGGTAGACTATTATGAACTTATATATATATATATATATATATATATATATATATATATATATATATATATATATATGTAATATCTCCCATAATCTAAGCTTTATAAAATAATACTTCTTCTTTCTATTAGGCTTGCTACTGTTGCATCAGGGGCAGCTTCAGGGAAATTTCTGGAGTATGAACTTGGGGGTCCCCGTGTTTGTGTCCAAACAGCTTATGGTATAGAGGTTGAGGTAAAAACACAAATCATGTGATATAATAATAATAATAATGAATTTGAATATTGAGAATATATATATTTATATAAATTTGTTATTGTAGGTTGAAAACAACCCCTATGATCCAGATCTAATGGTATTCATGGATTATAGAGACTTCTCAAAACATAAACCAGAATCTTTAGAAGCAAAATATCCGACTTTCCTCTATGTCATGGCCATGTCTCCAACAAAAATATTCTTCGAGGAAACTTGTCTAGCTTCAAGAGAAGCCATGCCTTTCAATCTTCTAAAGTCAAAACTCATGTCACGATTAAAGGCAATGGGTATCCGAATAACAAGAACGTACGAAGAGGTACTATCAACAGGCAGACAGTAAATCAAGGACTCCACATATCTAAGAGACTGAGACTTGTACTAATTTGGTTTTATTTAATATTTTCAAGGAATGGTCGTATATTCCCGTGGGTGGGTCGTTACCTAATACAGAACAAAAGAATCTCGCATTTGGTGCTGCAGCTAGTATGGTGCACCCTGCCACAGGGTATTCAGTTGTCAGATCTTTGTCAGAAGCTCCTAATTATGCAGCAGTCATTGCTAAGATTTTAAGACAAGATCAATCTAAAGAGATGATTTCTCTTGGAAAATACACTAACATTTCAAAACAAGGTATAGTTGCTGATTGAGTCGGACGCAACTTCTTATCATACATTATACGAGGCCAAATAGTCTGAATTTCTTTTTGATTAATATAAAATTGTTTTAATTTAAGCATGGGAAACACTGTGGCCACTTGAAAGGAAAAGACAGCGAGCCTTCTTTCTGTTCGGACTATCACACATCGTGCTAATGGATCTAGAGGGAACACGTACATTTTTCCGTACTTTCTTTCGTTTGCCCAAATGGTATAATCTTTTTCGTTTTAAACCTTCCACTTGGTACAATTTTCATTTCAGACCTTTCACTTGGTAGAATTTGCATTTTAAACCTTTGAGTATAATTTTTATGTAGGATGTGGTGGGGATTTTTGGGATCTTCGTTATCATCAACGGATTTGATAATATTTGCGCTGTATATGTTTGTGATAGCACCTCACAGCTTGAGAACGGAACTGGTTAGACATCTAATTTCTGATCCGACAGGGGCAACTATGGTAAAAGCATATCTCACTATATAGATTTAGATTATATAAATAATACCCATATCTTGCGTATATATAAGCCTTATTTGTTTGTTTTGTATCCTTACAACAACATAATCATTAATTATATGTTTTTTTAAGTAATGCTTACAATATTTTTTTGACCAACTTATATCACATTGGACTGTTGTCGACTACTTTGAAGTGGACTACTTTGGAGTGGACAGTGGACAGTAAACAGTAAGATGTTTTGGACTTTTTTGGGTATGGACTAGATTGTGTTCATATAAGTATTTGTAACATGCTAACCTATTGTAATAGGTAATAATTATTTAAATGAAAAAAAAAATATTAGTGGCTTTATGCAAAAATGAAAATAAAAAATTGTGGTAGTTTTTCAGGTAAAAGACCGAAAATATAACTACTTTTTTTTTTCTAAATAAGAAATGTGCTATATAATAAATAGTTATGTAGTGTAAACTATATGGACGTATTAGATCATCTTTTATGAAGAAAAAAATGTTTAAATTTGTGATGAGATTCAAACGCTATAGACGTGTTACACTCGATATAGGAGGATACAAAATGATTTTTAAAGGAAAAGTATGAGTTAGAGTCAACTTGACTAATATAGTTAATTAGCAATTAATTAAGAAATAATTGATCCAAGCTTGAGTGCTTGACTATAGTAACCAAAAATTATTGACTCGTTTACCAGAATTAATAATATCATAATTATTGACTCATGTGTTGTCAACATAAAATAATAAAAAAACTAAATTTAAAAATTAATTACATACTATATGAAAATTTATTCGTACCAATGAGGCAATGAATGACGGTTGAGTGTATTACCACATGTTATCCGAATATAAATATTAATGATAGTAAAATAAAAGATTAAGTAATTTATCTAAACAAATATATTTTTAGTATAATTAGGTTGGTCGGTAACATTTTTTTTTATATATATTTAGCTAATTAATGTGGTATATGATTACAACAATTATATTCACATAATAATATTTTTTTCGAAGGAGAAATTTGTAATGAAAAAGAAAACTAGCAAAAGCTAAGAGCGCAAACAAGAGTTGTATTCGGCAATTAGGTTAAAATTCAAAACACCAATTAATCCAAACACTTTTTCTTAAGACTATTCACCCAAATGACACCACAATATAAACATCCAAAGAAAGAATGAAAAGCAATCACATTAGAGTAAACTTTAAGATTATTGAATTTCTGTAAGACCCACAAGAACGTCTATCATTGTCTCGATTGCTTCAACACCCACTTTGGAGGGATATTGAGTGTTCCCAGCCGAAGAGGTGGTCTAATGACAAATATGTAACACCCCAATTTTTAACAATGGTATCGAATTAACAAATATCTAACATCATTTGCAATGATGTCTTTGTCTAGCAAAATATGGTCTAATTTTTTGTTTTTCATTTTACAATGTATTACAAACCAAATGAGTGTTGCAATCAGAAACCATAGGAAGCACTACAAATATTTTCAAAAATAAACTAAAGGTAGATATGTTCTACTAATTATCCTTTGCTAATCCTTGATTTACTAAGTCCTTCAACGATTGTTATTTACAATGTGGACTTCAACATAAAGTTGGTATATGGCACACGTGTCATTTAAAAAGAAATATATGTAAGACAACGAACTGTCTCATGAATACATGAGTTTTATAGTTTTAGCCCCAAAATAATATTTGGAAAAACATTTCTTTAATTCATTTTTCATTCATTCAAGTAATAAATCTTAAAACCATTTATTTTTCAAAAGCTTTTTTATAAATAAAATGATTCCTTTGTTGAGTTCTTTTCCTTTATATGAAATATCTTCGTATTATAATAGTACTTTGAGAATTCATTTGTACGCAATATGCATCAAAGTCAAAAGAATGTCTTAAAACTATAGATATAGTTTGAAGTACTCATTTTTAATACTTACACCGATTCAAAACATTTATTCTAAAATACTTGTCTAAGTAAAACACTAATTTTCCAAAATAACAAATAGTCAAAGTACATATAACTCAAAATATACAAATAGTTGAAGTACTTATAACAAAGAATGTACAAATATTCAAAGTATGTATAACCCAAAACGACACACACAAAAGTCCAAAGGTACGATCCCTTGTTTCGGAAGCTTGTTCCCAAGATACGACCCCTTGTTTCGGAATGAATCCCACATTAGGATATGACACTACTTCGCAAAGGGAGGTATCATCATGGTAGTGCCTCAAACTATACACGTCTAAATGGCCACACACTTCTCACACGACCAAATATAACATATGCTTACTAATATCAAAGTTTTCAAGCAAATTCAAGTGACCCCACAAAGTAGCAACTAGCAAAATAGCACAGCTGTGAATATTTCTTAGCTCACAACAACAATCTAAACAAGCCTTTATAACCCATTTATATTTCAAATTGTCACTTGAAAAACAATACAAAGAAAATACTTTGCCAAAACAATTTGCTTAAAACAAAATTTTATTGCCAAAAGCCGAAAATAATTTACTTAAACAAATAATTCCCAATTTCTTCCCACGTCAAATTATTATATTTGCAATTTAATAGAAAACATTACTATTCAAGCATAGGCACTTTCAAATTGTAGCAATGTACTAGCAAAATTTTATTCAAAATACATTTCAATTCACGAAAATTTACTTTAACTTTCATACTAGAACTACAAAGCATGCTTATATGTATTCAGTTTATATCAAAACACTTGCAAAACAATTTATAATATGTGTCCATGTTTGGAAAAAATCATCAAGTACTCGCCTTAGAAGTTAAGTTGTCTAACTACACAACTCTACTCGTCATTCACTTTCAATCATTGTTTTGCTCTTTAGTTCTTTATCTTTCAATTCATATAAATTTGATCATTCACCTTGTTATTCAATTCACTATCACATACACATGGCTCTAGAGTGTATTTTAGGATTAAAAATGATGAAATAAGGAAAAGGAACTGATAATTTGGGGGATCAAATAAAATCGGTTTAGTGCAATCCACATGTCCGATTGTAAAGAAGTGAGTAAGCTACATCGTGGGAAAATTTTGGAGGCTAATTCATAACCACGTGACGGAGAGGTGGGAAGGTGTCAGCTTATGCATCAGTGACTCAATCGGTTGACTCGGCTAGGCTTAGTTTCCAACTTGGCCGTGTAAAAATCTGAAAAACTCTCGGATTTTGTTCAATTAAGATTTTCTTCCATCTTTAAACTTTCATATCTTCCTTATATGATCTAAGTTTGACCCAATTTTTCTTTCATTGTTTTCTACATGAGAATTTTCATCCATTTCGTAATGTAGACATTAGGAAGGAGTGTTTATTAAGCTCTAAAGTAGCTTTTTAGGACCTTTCTCAAAATTTTCAAAATCATGAAATTCTTTATTCTTACTTCTTGAACTCTTCATATTCTTCCCAAATCATATATTTAAGACTAATAAGTGTTTTCAAGTCTTATATGCTCCATAAATCATCCAAAAGTACATTACACATATTTCATATCCCTGGGTTAGCAAAAATCGAAACACATATAAAAATATCTGAAATAATCGTATAAACTGAAAACTAGACAAAAACCGATGGTACAATTTTCAGTGCGGTGCAGTTATTAATCTCCCAATAACTACAAATAACCGAACCTCACCGAATTTAATATATTAAATAATTTTATTTAATATATTAAATAATTTTATATATAATATTTATTATTTAGTTAATAATAATACATAATATAATTACTTAAGTTGTTAGTTTGATGGTGTTTTAAAATGTCTTGAACTCTTAAGAATATGGTTTACTGGTGTTTTAACTTTTAATGTAAGTTATTAAAATTTGACATTTTAAAGATATTAATTGTTATGTACTTAATTTATTAGCTTGTTAGTATTTTAAGTTATTGTCTTATATCTTACTCACTTTCATATTGTTGCAAGTAATAGTCTTTCAACTCTTAAAACCGCAAAAAGTACCAAATCCACGCGGTTAAAACTTGCACCAAACCCACGCGATCAAAACCGCAACCGCATGAAACCGAACCTCATAAATAACCACATAACTGCACCACTACACTAACCGCATCATTTAGTTTCTAAAATTTAATAAGCACATGTGTGATTAGTGGTTTGATTTGGCCAATAGTTGCACTGAACCGCATCACGTTCACTCCTATATATCTCAATTCGGTTCATACCGAATGAGTTTAGAACAAACTACCAACCTTTATAGTTTTTTTAGTTTAATCCCAATTGGATTGATTCTTTTTACAATTTATATTTGGGAAATTTACGGAAAAAAATCATTTTGTTTAGGCCTCATAATCGATTAAGTCTTTATTTTTATTTTTTTAGTCAATTAAGTCCTAAAACCCAAAAATTGTATTTATTTTGACTCTTTTACCCGGTCAACAGGTCATCCAACTTTCAAAAATTACACTTCGGTCCAAATTTTAAATATTTGATCTAAATTTTACACTTTTGGCATAGATTTCAAAAAATTTGTTACGAATTTATCCTACATTTAGTTTTTTTTTTTATATATTTTTTAAAAATTTTGTTTTGAATATGTTTTTCGTTTAATAAAATCACATTTCTACAAAAAAAAATATTTTTACAAAAAATAAAACCTTTTTTTTTCTATATAAAAATATTTTTTAACACTTTTGTATTGGAAATACCTAATTATAAAAATATGTATTTATTCAGTACACAAATAAATATAAATCCGTTTTTCTAAAAAAAATGAATACAAGCACGTATATTATAAAAAATATATATACACAAACACGCTTTTATAATATATATATATATATATATATATATATATATATATATATATATATATATATATATATATATATATATACACACACACAAACACATATTTCATAGTAAACGTATTTGTGTATATTTATATATTTATATGCACACAAATAGGTGTTTTATACATTTATTTTATAAAAACGTATTTTGATACATTTTTTTTTATAAAA